TCAGCCTCACCTCAGTCCCTGGAAAAAAATCATGGAGCCTCAAGGAATCCATTTTGAGGCACTTGGAGGAGAGGAAGGTGATCAGGAACAGTCAGCATGGATTCACCAAGGGCAAGTCATGCCTGACTAACCTAATTGCCTTCTATGACAAAATAACTGGCTCTGTGGATGAGGGGAAAGCAGTGGACATGTTGTTCCTTGACTTTAGCAAAGCTTTTGATACTGTCTCCCACAGTATTCTTGCCAGCAAGTTAAAGAAGTATGGGCTGGATGAATGGACTATAAGGTGGATAGAAAGTTGGCTAGATTGTCGGGCTCAATGGGTAGTGATCAATGGCTCCATGTCTAGTTGGCAGCCGGTATCAAGTGGAGTGCCCCAAGGGTCGGTCCTGGGGCCGGTTTTGTTCAACATCTTTTTATTAATGATCTGGATGGTGGGATTAATTGAACCCTCAGCAAGTTTGCAGATGACACTAAGCTGGGGGGAGAGATAGATACGCTGGAGGGTAGGGATAGGGTCCAGAGTGACCTAGCCAAATTGGAGGATTGGGCCTAAAGAAATCTGATGAGGTTCAACAAGGACAAGTACAGAGTCCTGCATTTAGGAAGGAAGAATCCCATGCACCGCTACAGACTAGGGACGGAGTGGGTAGGCAGCAGTTCTGCAGAAAAGGACCTAGGGGTGACAGTGGACGAGAAGCTGGATATGAGTCAGCAGTGTGCCCTTGTTGCCAAGAAGGCCAATGGCATTTTGGGCTGTATTAGTAGGAGCGTTGCCGGCAGATCGAGAGAAGTGATTATTCCTCTCTATTCAGCACTGGTGAGGCCACACCTGGAGTATTGTGTCCAGTTTTGGTCCCTCCACTGCAGAAGGGATGTGGACAAATTGGAGAGAGTCCAGCGGAGGGCAATGAAAATGATTAGGGGGCTGGGGCACATGACTTATGAGGAGAGGCTGAGGGAACTGGGATTGTTTAGTCTGCAGAAGAAAAAAGTGAGGGGAGATTTGATAGCAGCCTTCAGTTACCTGAAGGGGGGTTCCAAAGAGGATGGAGCTCGGCTGTTCTCAGTGGTGGCAGATGACAGAACAAGGAGTAATGGTCTCAAGTTGCAGTGGGGGAGGTTTAGATTGGATATTAGGAAAAACTTTTTCACTAGGAGGGTGGTGAAACACTGGAATGCGTTACCTAGGGAGGTGGTGGAATCTTCTTCCTCAGAAGTTTTTAAGGTCAGGCTTGACAAAGCCCTGGCTGGGATGATTTTGTTGGGGTTGGTCCTGCTTTGAGCAGGGGGTTGGACTAGAACCTCCTGAGGTCCCTTCCAACCCTGATATTCTATGATGGGTGCATTTTAGTCACTGCCCCGTGCCAGCTGGCACACTGCGACTGCCCGGCCTAAGGGGCTCTCCCAGTTTATCCACCTCCCCGAGAGGCGGTAGGTAGGATGAGGGAAGAACCTAGTGCTGTCTACACTGGGGGTTAGGTTGGCTTCATGGCATCACTCGGGTGTGGATTTGTCACACACCTATGCAGTGTCGCCTTGTTGGCCTCACTTAGATCAGGGGCTAGAACCCAAAGCTCCTGCCTGCCCGCTTTGGCCACTGCACCACACTGCCAGCCATAGACGCCGATTTCCCGTCTGCCCGTTGGGTGCTCGACCCCTGCCCCTGACCCAGCCCCTGCACTGCCCTCACCCCACCCCCATTCTACCCCTTCCCCAAAGTCCTCGCCACACCCCACCTTTTCCCACTGCAGCCCTGCCCCCTTCCCACCCCTATTCCACACCCTTCCCCCAAGTCCCTGCCCCTGTGCTGCCTCTTCTCTGCCTCCTCCCCTGAGCGTGCTGCGTCGCCACTCCTCCCACTCCCTCCAGGAAAGTCCTAAGTGCTGCCAAACAGCTGTTAGGCGGCAGGAAGTGGCGTGGGCAGAGAAGGAGGCAGCTTGGCTGCATGTGGGCGCGGAGCACCCGCTAATTTTTCCCCATGTGTGCTCCAGCTCCAGAGCACCCACGGAGTCAGTGCCTATGCTGCCAGCTCCTTGCTCTTCATGCAGTGGCTCTAGCCCCAGCCGGCGCATGCTGCATTGCCCATTCAGTTGCCCATTCAGTGCTAATGGCAGAGGAACTGGTGCACCTGTAACACCCTCCTTTGCCCACCTTGCTGCCTAGCGACTGTCCCCGGCACTTGCAGGGCTGGAAACATGCCATGCTTCTGTTAGCGGAGCTCAGCTGGGGTATTGTGACCTGCCTCCTGTTCAGTATCAGACTCTTCGGTCAGGAGTGAGACCAGCACGGACAAGTTCATCCCTCTGCTACCCTTCAGCTAGCGGCAGGGGCTGGTTTTCACCTCGGGGGCTGAGGCCTGATGCATACGAGGAAAGCTGCCCCAGTTTAACTGCCCTGAGCTAGTTAAATGGAGAAATCTCCTCCCCAACTGTGCCCAGCATCTGCAGAGGGCCTGCGTCTGTTACCACCCCCCTAGACAGCTGCAGCTCTGGAGTCTCTGGTCAGTTCTCAGTGTCAGCCACTCACACATGCATGCACTGAACCTGTTTTAACCCTTGTAGAAATCAGTTTAACTTAATGGGGTTATTCGCTGATGTAAGCTGAAGTGCCATCTCCTAAAGTTAAGCCTGTTTAAGTGCATCAGCGTTAAGGGGTTTGCCCCAGTTTCAGTGCATTGATTTAGTTAACTGCTCTCTTTTCTTATGTAGACCAGGCCTAAGCTTCCAGCTCTGATTCAAGAGCCCTACCTGGGAAAGAGAAGGGCCCCTCCCAGGAGACAGCCAGCAATCCCCAGAGATCCAGATGAAGAGCTTAGTTACCTTAAAAGAAAACGTTAACCCTTCCTCTCTGGGCGTTCAGCCCCCAGAGCCCTACAGGAGAACCTGGAAGTAAAACTGACTAGAAACAAACTGGAAACTTACTAGTCTGGTTATTGACTGAGACCCGGAAGATGCAGCCAGAGGGCATGGAGGAGAGTAAACCAGGGGCCAGACCCTCAGCTGGTGAGAGATGCTGGAACCCCGGCTGGTGTGAATTGCTGCTGCTCCATTGAAGTCAATGGCACAACGCTAATTTCTACCAGCTGAGGATCTGGCCCTCCAAGTTTCAAATTCTCCCCATTTTAATGAAGGCCCAGGCCAGGGTGGCTTGGGGGCTGTTCCAAGCCCCTTTGCACTCCGCATAAGCGGAGGGGTTTGCCTCAGTGCCTTGCTTGGCATGTCACTTCCCTGCTGTGTTTTGCAGCACCCTGGCTGCTGTGCCTCGTGCCAGAGGTGGCCGCATTTCAGGCGGTTTGTGTCTCAGTGGCGGGATGGGGTGGGTTCCTCCGAGGTGAAACAGCCTCTGGAGATGAGGTTGCTGCTGGGGGAAGCGGTGTCCACGGTGTGTTTCCAAACAGCGGCTTGTTTAAAGCAGGCCCAGGGCTGCACAGGAAGCTGTCTGGCACCTTTAAGCTGGCCAGACAGGTTCCAGGATGCAAGACTTGTTTTTACCCCTGCTCCGAGGACAGATTGGGCTGCAGGCGGCGGAACGGGGGAGGGGCAGGGACTGGCTTTTTGTTGGGGTTTGCACAGCACTGAACACAATGGGGGCGTGGGCCATGATTGTGGCCTTTATGCAGCCCCTCAACACACCTAGTAACGGCTCTCCAGGCTGAATGAGACAGGGCCAGGATCCCTCCCTGGGCAGACTGTCCCCTGCTGCTGCTCCGGGTCATGCTCTCCCCACGGCTCCAGGGCGTGTTTGGGAGGTTCCCCCTGGATGGTGGGAAGTTCTGAGGGCAGGGAACAGGGTAGAGTGGGGGAATGATTAGGGGTCTGGAACACATGAGTTATGAGGAGAGGCTGAGGGAGCTGGGATTGTTTAGCCTGCAGAAGAGAAGAATGAGGGGGGATTTGATAGCTGCTTTCAACTACCTGAAAGGGGGTTCCAAAGAGGATGGCTCTAGACTGTTCTCAATGGTATCAGATGACAGAACGAGGAGTAATGGTCTCAAGCTGCAGTGGGGGAGGTTTAGATTGGATATTAGGAAAAACTTTTTCACTATGAGGGTGGTGAAACACTGGAATGCGTTACCTAGGGAGGTGGTAGAATCTCCTTCCTTAGAGGTTTTTAAGGTCAGGCTTGACAAAGCCCTGGCTGGGATGATTTAACTGGGAATTGGTCCTGCTTTGAGCAGGGGGTTGGACTAGATGACCTTCTGGGGTCCCTTCCAACCCTTATATTCTATGATTCTATGATTCTATGAATGTGAAGGGCCTGGATGAATGGTGACTAATAATAACCAGGCTTGGCCATCCAGCCCTTTCTCTAGGACGATCCCAAGTACCAGCCACAATTCAATAGGGCCCAATCCTGGGAGTGCTCAGTGGGTGTGAAGGGTGTGGGGTAGGGAGCGTGGGGTTGGCTTGGAGGGATCCCAGCATCTCAAGCTGTGGGGTCATGGGGTAGAATGCTTGGCCTTTCCAAAGCCCTCTAGCCCTGCTGAGCCGAGTCCTGCCCGATGCCAGGGCCTGGGAGCTGGCTCTCTGGGTCTGCTGCTCCCTGGTGCTGGTGCCCTCTCTGCCTGGGTTCGTGGCTTCTCTCTGCCAGCTTGGCTGATTGGGCCTGAGGTTTGTTCCCTCCAGTTCATCACCTGCTTGGCTCAGCTCCACCACAGGGCTCAGTTGGCTAGAGCCTGGCCTGGATCGCTCCTCTCCCTGCCTGGTTCCCGCTGCCTGCAAGGCACTCTCCCCTGTGGCTTCCCATGTCCCAGTCACCCCCTTGGTGCTGCCCTGTGTGGCTAGCCCTGACTGCCCAGCCCCTCACACACAAGCGAGAGAGGATTTTCCTCTGCAGCTGCCCCGTCAAGAGCACTCTGCCCCTCCCTGCCTGCTCTCCAGCTCTCCGGACACAGCTCCCCTTCCTCGCAGCCCTGATGTGCCCTGCAGGCTGGAGGGGCCCTTGTTCCCTAGGACCATGGCCACCCCACTAACTGGCTTCTCCATCTTGTTTTTCAGGGTGGACAAGTCATTCATCTATCACAGAAGCCTCCGGTGAGTAGGTGTCTGGCCCTGTGGTCCTTGCTGCGTCCTCGGGGAGGCCGGGGTGGAGTGGGGAGAGACAGGGCTCTCCGAGCCATGGGGTAGCCAGGAGCTCAGGCTGTCGGGGTCGGGGGGAGGCTGTTAGTGTTATGGCTCCAGGGCCGACTCCAGCGTTTTTGCCGCCCCAAGCAGCAAAAAACAAAAGCAAAAAACCTTGCCACCGAACACGGAGGTGGAGTGATGGTGCGGCTGCCGAATTGCCACCGGCGACCGTAGGAGAGTCGCGTCCCCGCTGCCAAATTGCCGCCGAGTGTGAAACGCGCTGTGATGGAGTGGCCGCCCCAGAGCCCACCGTCCCGCTGCCCCTTTACATTGGCCACCCCCGGCACCTGCTTGGTTTGCTGGTGCCTGGAGCCGGCCCTGTGTGGCTCTCAGGGCAGTTGCTGGAGCCCCCACTTGGAAGGACAGAGAATATTAGCAGGAGGCCGAACCCACTCAGGGCTGTGGGGCACAGAGAGGGGGTGGGCTCAGAGCCAGGCGTGGGGGGCTGCAGGGAGCTGGGATGAGCTCAGAGCCAGCTGCCGGGGCTGGGACTGGGTGGGACCTGACTGCTCAGGACACGACGCGAGGAGCTGGGTTGGCCTTAGAATGGCCGAGCTGAAGGATTCCAGTCACCATTGTTCTGCCCGTGACTCATGGGAGCTGCAGAAGAGCAGACGGCCCAAGGCTGGCGGTTTGGGGTTATGCCAGGGGGCCCTGAGGATCCCGTGGGCTCCTGGGTCTTCGGGGCACCGTCTGTGCTGAATGAGCAGGGGCCAGGTCTCCGGCTGGGGCCGTGCAGATCCCAGTGTGCAGCCGGCACTCAGGGATCAGTGGTAGGTGCTTGCCTGGCTCAGCCCCCTCAGCGACCTGCCTGTGGTAGTGTGTGGGGCAGGGCCAGAGTGGAGGGAGGGCCAGGACGGGGATTTCTGGGACCAAGTTCTTAGCTGGAGCCTGGACATGAGGGCCAGGGGTACATCCCCTCAGGGCTCCTGCAGCTGGGGCCAAAACTGCCCGAGAGGCAACAGTGGGCACTTCAATGGCTCCCTGGCCATTTCCCGGATGCTCTGGGCTCCTGGCTGTGCCGTGCTGAAAGGGGCATTGTTCCTGTGGCTGAGCCTGAGGGGCATTGGACACATTGGGTCCTGGCAGGTTCCTGTGGCATGTGCTATACAGGGCAGGAAGTGGCCTCCGGAGGGCAGGGCTCGGCTCGGGGCCTGGGTGCACGGTGACCCGCACCAGCTGTGTGTCAGCCCCTAAGCCTAGCATTGCATCGGCTCCGTGGGGGCTGGACCAGGCAGCCGTTAGGTGGCACAGTAGAGCTGGAGTGTCAGTGTCCCTGAGCCCCAGGGGAGCCAAGGGGCAGGTGCTCTGGGTTTTTAACCCCATAGTACTCTCCTCCCCTGTAGCGCATGGGGGAGGCTTCAGATTCACCATGGGTGATGGTCTCCTGCCTTGGAACGGGAGCTGCAGACTCCGCGCTCCCAGGGCTTCCTGCAGCACCACAGAGCCACTCAGAGGGGAGGAAGGGCTGCCCACTGGCCAGGGCACTAGCAAAGACCTGGGAAATCCTCAGCACTTCCACAGCCTTCCCGTGTGACCTCGGGCCTGTCCCTTAGCCTCTCTGCTGCAGTTGCCACCTGTACACTGTCTGTGCCCTGCTCACCGTGTGCGAGGTGACAGCTATTAGTGAGGTGCTTAGGTACCGCAATCCCAGGGCTGGATAAGTACTTGCACTAGGAAGAGATTCTCCCCTACCCCGCTCCCAGCAATGGCATCAACTGGGTCTGGGGCTCTGCTGGATCAGGTCGCTGGGCTCTGGAACGCAGAGTGCTTTGAATGGGTGTGGGGTGTAGGTTGGTGTTATCTGCCCCCCATTTCCCAGCTGGGGGAGGCGAGACACAGGGACAGGAGGTGGGCCTGGCCCCACAGGCAGTCAGTGAGTCACCAGGACCAGATGGGATTCATCCAAGAGTTCTGAAGGAACTCAAATGCGAAACTGAAGAACTATTAACTGGTTTGTAACCTATCATTTAAATCAGCTTCTGTACCAAATGACTGGAGGATAGCTAATGTGATGCCAATTTTTAAAAAGGGCTCCAGAGGTGACCCTGGCAATTACAGGCTGGGGTATTGACTTCAGTACCAGGCAAACTGGTTGAAACTAGAACAAAATTGTCAGACAGTTAGATGAACATAATTTGTTGGGGAAGAGTCAACATGGTTTTTGTAAAGGGAAATCATGCCTCACCAATCTACTAGAATTCTTTGTGGGTGTCAACAAGCAGGTGGACAAGGGGGATCCAGTGGATTTAGTGTGCTTAGATTTTCAGAAAGCCTTCAACAAGGTCCCTCACCAAAGGCTCTTAAGCAAAGTAAGTTGTCATGGGATAAGAGGGCAGGTCCTCTCATGGATTGGTAACTGGTTAAAAGATAGGAAACAAAAGGTAAATGGTCAGTTTTCAGAATGGAGAGAGGTAAATAGTGGTGTCTGTACTGGGACCAGACCTATTCGACATATTCATAAATGATCTGGAAAAAGGGGTAAACAGTGAGGTGGCAAAATTTGCAGATGATACAAAACTACTCAAGATAGTTAAGTCCCAGGCAGACTGTGAAGAGCTACAAAAAGATCCCTCAAAACTGGGTGACTGGGCAACAAAATGGCAGGTGAAATTCAATGTTGATAAATGCAAACTAATGCACAATGGAAAACATAATCCCAACTACACATATAAAATGATGGGGTGTAAATTAGCTGTTAACACTGAAGAAAGAGATCTTGGAGTCATTGGGGATAGTTCTCTGGAAACATTTGGGCCCCAGACTACAAGAAGGATGTGGAAAAATTGGAAAGAGTCCAGCGGAGGGCAACAAAAATGATTAGGGGACTGGAGCACATGACTTCTGAGGAGAGGCTGAGGGAACTGGGATTGTTTAGTCTGTGGAAGAGAAGAATGAGGGGGGATTTGATAGCTGCTTTCAACTACCTGAAGGGGGTTCCAAAGAGGATGGCTCTAGACTGTTCTCAGTGGTAGCAGATGACAGAACGAGGAGTAATGGTCTCAAGTTGTAGTGGGGGAGGTTTAGGTTGGATATTAGGAAAAGCTTTTTAACTAGGAGGGTGGTGAAGCACTGGAATGTGTTACCTAGGGAGGTGGTGGAATCTCCTTCCTTTGAAGTTTTTAAGGTCAGGCTTGACAAAGCTCTGGCTGGGATGATTTAGTTGGGGCTTGGTCCTGCTTTGAGCAGGGGGTTGGACTAGATGACCTCCTGAGGTCCCTTCCAATCCTGAGATTCTATGCAGCAGCAGTCAAAAAAGCAAACAGAATATTGGGAATCACGAAAGCTCATGCTCAAATAAATTGGTTAGTCTCTAAGGTGCCACAAGTACTCCTTTTCTTATTAAGAAAGGGATAGATAATAAGACAGAAAATATCGTATTGCCTCTGTATAAATTCATGGTACTCCCACATGCGTGCATATGTGGTCGCCCCATCTCAAAAAAGGTATATTGGAATGGGAAAAGGTTCAGAAAAGGGCAACAAAAATGATTAGGGGTATGGAACAGCTTCCGTATGAGGAGAGATTAATAAAACTGGGATTTTTCAGCTTGTAAAAGAGACGATGAAAGAGGGATTTGATTGAGGTCTGTAAAATCATGACTAGTGTAGAGAAAGTGAATAAGGAAATGTTATTAACGCATCATAACACACAAACGAGGGGTCACCAAATGAAATTAATAGGCAGCAGGTTTAAAACAAACAAAAGGAAGTATTTCTTCACACAATGCACAGTCAACGTGTGGAACTCCTTGCCAGAGGATGTTGTGAAGGCCAAGACTATAACAAGGTTCAAAAAAGAACTAGATAGTTTCATGGAGGATAGGTCCATCAATGGCTATGAGCCAGGATGGGCAGAGATGGTGTCTCTAGCCTCTGTTTGCCAGAAGCTGGGAATGGGCGACAGGGGATGGATCACTTGATGATAACCTGTTCTGTTCATTCCCTCTGGGGCACCTGGCACTGGCCACTGTCGGCAGATGGGCTACTGGGCTGGATGGACCCTTGGTCTGACCCAGTCGGGCCGCTCCTATGTTCAGGAATAGTCTAGTCTGCATCCCAGGCCCTTACGCTAGCTGCTGTGTTACGCTGCCCCCTTCTGAAGAGGGTTTGCCCTCACCGGGGTGGTGGCTGGTGGGAATTATTCCATCTGAGAGAAGGGATCAAACCAGGGTCTGGCCTAGGCTGAGATAAATTAAAAGTTGTAGTGGGGATGGAGAACTGGGCAGAGCCCTGTGGTCTGTTCCCCGCTCTTCCACAGACCTACTAGGTGTCCTTGGGTAACTCCCCTCCCGGTGCCTCAGTTTCCCCATCTGTACTATGGTGATGGTGCTGCGTGGATAAAATACACGCATCTGTGAGGCACTGAAGCCACCCCACGCTTTCCTTACTGTGGTTTTTCGGGCCAATATAGTTTCCCAGCCACATTGCAGCCAAGCCAGCTGTGTGAACTCAGATCTGGAGTTCTCAGAGCTGACAGGGCTGGGGCCATCGGCAGGTGTGCTGAGCGTCACTCTCTAGTGACCCCTTCTGGTGTGGTCTGAGGGACTCCTGAGCCAGGAGCGTGGGGCTTGTGGCACAGGGCTGACGTCCATCTGGGGCGATGTGGGACAGGCGTTTCTTCAGGAATCACTAGGGAGGCTGAGCACCAGCCATGCATGGTGGTTTTGGGGGGCAGGAAATGCAGCCTCTGGTTTCACTCGGGGAGTTTCCATCCCCAGGAGAGAGCGCAGCCCCGTGGGACAGGGCGCAGCTGGAACCATTCTGCATGACAGCTGCCTGGCCAGCACGGGAGCATAGCTCCCTGTGCTCCTGGCAGGGCCCTGCCAGTTCTCCGCCAGAGATCGCAGGAGGAGCCGTGCCCGGAGAGTGGGGGACTTCCCCTGTGGGAGATTGGTCCGTATTCGACCT